TCTTCTTTCTCAAGATTGCTTTGGCTATTCGAGGTGTTTTGTATTTCCATACAAATTGTGAAATTATTTGTTATAGTTCTGTGAAGAATACCATTGATAGCTTGATAGGGATTGCATTGGAAACTCATTCTATAAGGCCACCATCACCCTAATACCAAAATCAGACAAAGATGCCACAAAAAAAGAAAGCTACAGGCCAGTATCACTGATGAACATAGGCTGCTAATTTTGAAGCAATGTGATATAAAGTATACCATGAAAAAAAGAGTGAGCTACAAATAGAATACTGATACATACCGACAGCTCAACAGAAACATTCAGCCAGCCCACAGATACATGAAAAGTAATAAATCATTACTGTTTTAATTCACTAAATTCTGAAATAATTTACAATGCAGCAATCACTAAATGATACATACTATGAAAAGTCTAAGTTTATCACAGATTGCTGATTGGTTTGAAAGCCTTAATTTATCAAAATTAATCAGTTTAGGTAAGACTTTCCATCAATATTCTATGCTTACATGGATTAGAAGAATTAAGAAACTCTAACTACACCACCCAGTAAGTGTCAAACCACTATTTATGTGTGAAAAACACCAATGTGCTCTTAATATAATTGAAGCATGAGGAGATGTGCCCACCTACAGCTCAAAATTAATGTCTTATTTGAGTTGTATTCATTCTCCCTAAAATCCTATGCTGATGTCTTCAACACTAGTACCTGACATGTGACTATTCATGGAGATACAATCTGTCCTAGAGGAATGAAGTTCAACTGAATTCATTAGGATGCCCCCTAATTCAAAATGACCTGTAGCCATGTAAAAAAAGGAAATATGGACACAGAGACTCTCACATAGGAAGGAAACTGAACAAATGTAGGGGTCTCTTTGCCACTTTGACAAGAAAAGGTGAGAAGACTGGAACAGACGCTTTCTTCATACCACTCTGAAGGAACCAAATCAGCTGTCATCTTGATTTCGACTTCTCACCTCCAGAAATGTGAGACCTTAAGTATGTGCAGTTCAAGTAAACCAATCTCAGGCATTTTGTACATCAGCCCAGGTAACTAATATGATATTATTAAATCACCACAATTAGAATCATTCAAGCAATTCAGCAAAGACAGTGCAGGCAAAGAATGGCACCGGATACCATCCTTGTTACCAAAGCTGAACATCCAGGAAGGCATGTATTCCATGGACATGGGGAAACTGCCTTGAACTTCAGACAGCGAAAATTTTGAAAAATGGCTGTGGCTCACTCAGGCTGGTCCCTGTAATCTGTAATATTTTTTTTTCTTTAAAATGATTTGGTTATTCATTCACTGTTTTTGAATCCACACTTTAAATGGATTCCATAACAGAGGTAATGGAAGAAAGAGTTTTAATGGGGTATGTTTGACCTATGGATACTATTTTCCATGCATTGATGATTATAATTTGTTGATTAAGCAGTGAAGGTTTTCCCTCATTTCCTCTTCACAGTCAACTACACCATTAGATCGCGATTAGACACTAGCTGCCCTTCTTTCCAAAAGGGCCCAGTAAAGTATATAATCAGGATCGCTACTCCCCCTCCCATCTTCAACAACAATAACAAAATTCCAATTTTCTTCTTTTCTTTCTTGATGTGTTGTCCTCCCTTACGCTCCCAGTCTTCTCTGTCTAGACCAATTATGCTGCATCTGTACACATCTTTCAACAGTGATCCTATTGCATTTCTGTATTTACAAACACAAAATACACAAAGCACGATAGCAGTGTCTTAGTGTATTAGATCCCTCAGAATTACTTTTTGCAGCGACCATAGCTTTGGGACAGCACGCAAAAATAAGCTTGGTGATGCCTTTCTGATTCATAATAAGAAAAACTGATGTTTTGAGGCAGCAACAATTAGCAACATAGACATTAAGTGGTTTTCTGATGTTACTCTTTTCAAATGATTCACACTTGTTTCTCAGAAAAGGCACCTGCCTCTGCACAGTGTTTCCACTTTTGAAGTTTTTTTCCAGTGGATATAACAATTTCTAATTGCTACGCAAAGTGAGGCATGCACTGGATTTCATGGTTGATTCCAATGATAGGTTGCATAGTAAGCTCTTCTTTTCTCTTCAAAATCCTTCATTCTAATTTTCAACATTGCAGAGTAATAATAAAAAATGAACTTCTTGAGAGGGCTTATTTACCTGAATTCTTTTACTATTGACTCAAAGAGAGGTCTGGAGGTAATACTGGCCCCATTCATACTTGAAATAGTCCATTAACTCTAGTATCAAACCCTACCCCTATTTTACTCTTCAGCAAGTGGTGCTGTGTCTGAGGTATAACAATTTGTTTTTGATCTCTCCAAAGAAAGAGCACGGAATTTTTTTAAATTTTATAGTTTATATCACTTTTATCTAATTCTTTGCATAACAGAAACATCCTCCACATGTTTCATTATCCTAGTCAAAGAGTTATTTACAGCTTATTTTAAATGTTCACATGAAATATTTCAAAATAGGATGAAACAATGAGCTTCAAAGCAAATCATAATGAATTGTAAAGTATTGAAATCCTGCAGAATATTCTCTCTCAACAGATGTCATAAGTTAGAAACTTGTTTATCAAGGAAACTAATAGAAAATTAGCAACATCTTTAAAATTCATCACTCCACACATAGGAAGTTTACACAAGTGAAAATCAAATAAAAATCCTCCTGGACCACAAAAAAAAAAAGAATGTACAAGCAAAGCCATGAACTTTAACATGAAGCTGAACAGTCAAACATCTAGAGGTAAAAGGAAATGCTGCAGGTTTTATATTGCTGATAATTCTCCTCTACATTGCTGTAAGGGCCTGAAGACGTGACCCGCTCTGGATTCATGTCCTTAAATCTCCATAACTAAATATAAATAAAGAACCAAAAAAGAACTGGCACAGTACCACAGTTCCTTCCCCATTAACCTCCAGTCTGATTTCCATAAAAAGGCTATTATCTCTTGAGCTCTGGTCACTCAACCACACTTTGAGTCAACAGCTGTGGCTCACAGGCTGCCAGTCCCCCACTGGCTGTACCAGTGGAGATAGATGCTTGAAATGCTTTCTCTGAACTCTCTCTGATGTATATAAAATTGCAGGTCATGAAAGTGTGTTTTATTTTTTTTTGAAAGTGTGTTTTAAAGATCAAAATATTCTCCTCTAGAAAATAAGTGATTAGATACATCTGTATGAATTTCTAAAACAATTTCAAAAACCAGAGAATTAGAAAATTGAAATGTGTGTGAAAATTTTGTTTTGCCATTTTTGTACTATATATCAGTCCCCTTTATATATTTAAATGTTTGATTAACTGGGATATGTTGAAAATAAATAAAGAAACTGGGATATGTGGGACAAGGATACTAGAGGTAGTGGATGGATATATCAGTTTTTTCACTTTATCTATTGCATATCACACATAAAATGCTTCTGAAGAATTCCATAATACACATTGGGAGAAGGAGAATAAAATGGAAAATTAAAATGCTACAAAAATAATTTAGAACTTATAGAACTCTATCATGAAAGACCCAAAGAAGACACTATAACTGGGATCAAGGAAAGGTTGGAATTTTGCATTTCCTCCTAGCTTTTGTCTCATTGTTTTGCTGAGAGTGACATCCTTCACAGATTTCCACATCCAAATCCTGTTGTACTGGTAAGTTTGTTTTAACTTTAAAATTTTTATAGATGTATGTGAGTTACAATATTCTATTTGTTCAGGTTTACAACTTGGTGATTCAATTGTTTTATATATTATACTCTGTTTACATTTATTAACAGATAATTGGTATAATTCTCTGTGCTGTACAGCATATCTTTGTTGCTTATTTTAAAGTTCAAAATGAGTACTATAAAATAAAATGAAATATTAAGTTCTAATGAAAACCATAGTAAATTACAAAGAACTGAAATTGCAGAGTGCTTTATCTCTCTCCAACGATGTAGTAAGCTTGAAATCAATCTTTAAAAAAGGAATAGGAAAATCGCCAACTACTCTGAGATTCAGCAGTATACCTATATAAAAAAATGTCAATGCACCAAGAAGAAAACACAATGGACATTAAATTCAGTAAATAGTCTCTAAAGCATTAGCAGTCAAATACTTGAGGTAGAAGAAGGAGTCATCTTATTTCTCTTAATTGCTGAACATCCTCCTCTTATACTGATGCAAAGAACTCGAGACATGTCCCACAACAAGAAATGGATGAATCTGTGTGTGCTAAGTATCTTGAGTCATATGGGACTCTTTGCGACCCCATGGACTGTAGCCAACTAGGGTCCTCTGTCCATGGGGTTTGTCCATGCAAGAATACTGGAATGAGTTTCCATGCCCTCCTCCAGGGAACCTTCTCCACCTAGGGATCAAACCTGGGGCTCCTGTGTCTCCTGCATTGCAGGCAGTTTTTGTTTTTTGTTTTGTTTTGTTTTGTTTTTTTTTTTACCACTGATGCCAACTGTGAAGCCCTAAGAAATGGATGCCCGCATGCTAGGTTGTTTGGGTCGTTTCTGACTCTTTCAGACCCTATGAACTTTAGCCCACCAGGCTCCTCTGTCCATGGGATTCTTACAATGTTGTAAAGTAAAATTAATTAATTAATTAATTAAAAAACAGCAGCAACAGCAACAAAAAAGAATACTGGAGTGGATTGCCATGCCCTCTTCCAGGGGGTCTCTCTGACCCAGGTATAGAACCTGCCATTCCTGCAACTCCTGCATTGTAGGCAGATTCTTTACTGCTGAGCCACCCGGGAGGCACACACTGCTCTTTATCGGTTGCTATACCCCATATAAAAATATCTGGATGATACCTAAATATAGGTGGGAAAATGAAAATGAAAAAGGCCAATGAAACTTTTAGGGAAAGAATTTTGACCATAAAGATCCCTAAAATTGCTGACTGAGAAACCATGAATAGAAATAACCATTTAGGAAAGTGACGAGTTGCAATACGTTAAGAAAAATGTACACGATTTTCCATTGAACAAATGACACAACCGACCCTTATTGAAGCAAACTTGATGAGGTTTTTAATGTTTTCCTTGGGGTGGAAATGTTTTAAAGATGGAAAGTAGGGCATATGTAAAGAACCCAGAGTGGATGGATATGGCTTTTTATCGCTACAGGTCTTTTCCCTTCGAGTGGTTAGGATAAGAGTCTTTGGTTTGCGATGTTGAAGTGGTCATGAGGCAGTTCATCTGCGGGTGTTGTATCTGATGACTGAATTGGTGGCCTTGGACACTGCGTACTTGCCGATCTCCCCAGGCAAGAGAAGATGCACAGCTGTCTGGATCTCTCCACTCGTGATAGTGCAGTGCTTGTTGGAGCGGGCCAGGTGCCTGGCCTCTTCAGCTATCTGCTCAAACATATCCTTCACGAACGAATCCATGACGTTCACGACCTCGTGGGAGAGGCTCAGGCCTGTGTGCACTTGCCTCAGTACCCTGGGGAAATAGGTGGCGAAGCTTGCAAAGTTGTTTGGACAGCAGCGGCAGCGGCAGCGGCGGCGGTGGCAGTGGCGGTGGCCCTTAGCTGTCTTTTGTTTCGCCTTCTTTGGCTCGGCATCATAGGGCTCCGGTTCAGAGGGCTCCATTTCTGAGGTCTCTGTTTCAGAGGGCTCCGTTTCAGAGGGCTCTACTTTGGAGGTCCCGGTTTTGTTGGTGCCCAGGTCTTCCTCGGAGTTGTCAGAGGATGGTTGAGCCATGTCGGAGCCACCAGTCCCCACTACTCAGAAGGAAGGACAATGAAGGCAGTTGGCGGAGTTTATAAGCCCTGCTTTCCCTGAAGTCACAAACACTGTCCATATCTGATTGGATAAAATGCAAGGTAAAAGGCCTGTTACTATGGCAGCCCATGTCATGTGACACTGGATGCTCCACCCCCAACTCCCATCGCCCCTCCTTCACATTTAACCAGGCAGTCAGTCAGACTCAGTAGTATCTTTAAACTTACCATGACTTCCACCAGAAAAATCTTTGAACTCTACCCCGTGAAGGAGACAGTCATCTGTTCACCTCAGCTGATTTATGTCTACTATTGATGCATGAGAAGTTTGAAGGATGTCACCAAAGTCATTGAAGTTGAAAAATGTAATAATCAGTTAAAGCTTCCTGAGAGAGTCTGACTGGCTTCCATAACTCAAGCTCTTTCAGACATCAGAGTGACTCAGGTCCCTTGGTGGACATTTTACTCCAACACAGAATCTTTTCCTGCTGATTGACCTACAGTGCCAGGAGCAAAAACTCTTGACTTCCTCAGCAGAGTGCTCCTGAAAAATCATAGGAATTAATTGACCAGCTAGTATCTCCAAAACTTATCAAAACTAGTAATCACTATGAAGAAAATGACAAAATCCCATTCTCCAAATACAGAACACAAACAGAAATAGGAATACTTACTAAAAATATTTAACATTTTGCAAATTTAAAATTTTTTTTAAACATTATTCAGGTCCCCCAAATACCACACAATCTGGAATTGATTAATGATTTAGAGTGGTTATTTCTCAGAAAATGATCACTTTTATTGCTGAAAAACCACCAGGGTGAGAGAAAAAGAATTAAAGAAGAGAGAAATAAAACACCTAGGCATAAATGTACCTAAGGTGGTGAAAGACTTGTACTTAGAAAGAATAAGACCCTGATCAAAGAAATTGAAGATAATGCAAACAGAGGGAAAGGTCCACCTTGTTTATGGACTGGAAGAATTGATGTTGCTAAAACAACCGTGCTATCGAAGGCAATCCACATAGTCAGTGCAATTCCTATGAAAATACCAGGACATTTTCCACAGAACTAAAACAAACAATCTTAAATTTTGTATGGAAAGATGAAAGACCCTGAATCACCAAAAAAATCTTAAGGAAGAAGACCAGAACTAGAGGAATCGGGTTCCCTCATTTCGGACTATAACAGAAAACAACAGTAATCCAGTCAGTGTAGTACTGGCACAAAAATAGACACATGGATCTGTGGAACAGGAGAGCCCAGAAATAAACCTATGGGCAGTTCAGTTCAGTTCAGTTCAGTCTCTCGGTCGTGTATGACTCGTTGTGACCCCATGGACTGCAGCATGCCAGGCTTCCTTGTCCATCACCAACTCTCAGAGCTTACTCAAACTCATGTCCATCAAGTCAGTGATGCCATCCAACCATTTCATCCTCTGTCGTCCCTTTCTCTCTCACCTTCAATCTTTCCAAGCATCAGGGTCTTTTCCAAGGAGTCAGTTCTTCACATCATGTCACAAAGTATTGGAGTTTCAACTTCAGCATCAGTCCTTCCAATGAATATTCAGGACTGATTTCCTTTAGGATTGACTGGTTGGATCCCCTTGCAGTCCATGATCAATTAATCTACAATTAAAAAAAGCAAGAATGTACAAATGGAGAGAAGACACTCTCTTCAATAAGTGGTGCTGGGATAATTGGATAGCTACATGCAATAAAGTAAAATTAGAACATTCTCTAACAGCATATACAAAAGTAAACTCAAAATGGACTAAAGACCTAAATATAATACATATATTGTGTAGGAAGTAATTTTAAGAAACAGAATCCATTAGATATTTTAATGGCCTGTGTTTCTTTCACATTTGTAAATTCAGAAATTAAATGAACACATCAGTTATAAAAAAAAAAACATTAAAAATAGCCACAATTGGGTTTTGAAGGGATAACTGGGACTTCAAAAGTCTCTGATACACAGGAAATCTAGGATGGAGAAGGGAAAAGCAGAGTTGGAGATTGGAAGGAGGAGTAACACTAGTAATTATTCACTTCAGTTGATGATTGAGGAAATAAAAGAGCCTAGTGAGCAATCACTTTTCAATGTTGTGGTTCACTGTAAAGGCAAAATAAGGCAAATGGCTTGACAGCTTAAATAGCAATTGCCGGTCTCAACTCACGAATGACGATGTTGATAGAATAGGCATACTCCATTCAGAAACCTTCTCAACATTACCGTTGTTTATGGATTCACATAAAAAGAGGACTCCTACACAGCATAGAAGTTAAGTGCAACAGAAAATTTAGGAAACAAAATCATTTCACACTTCCTAGAATCACAAGTTTCTACCCTAACTCATTCAGATGATCTAATGTCATTCTTTTCAGCCCTCATTCTCTTGTTTTTGAAGTGGAAAACCTTCATGATTTGCAACTTAACATCATAGGAAAGGTGAGAGCATTCATTCAGTCAGAGAAGCTGAAAAGTTCATGTTGACTCCATGTCAGCCAAGGAGGGACTCAAATGGGCAGCCACAGTCACTGAACCACTCTACAGTGAGGTTTTCCTGACTGAACCAATAACTGTCTTCCTGGGGTGTTCAGGTCTGGTGACAGCAGGTAACAAGTATGATTATTTATCTACTTTGACAGTACAGCAACAAGCATGATTATCTACTTTATAGTTGGTTTTATAAAACTAATCAAGGTCATTTATATAGTATATAAGTATTAGGAAATGGCCTGGTAGTAAAGAATCCACTTCAATGCAGGAGACCTAGGTTCAATCCCTGGGTCCGGAAGATTCACTGGAGTAGGTAATGGAAAGCCACTCCAGTATTCTAGACTGGAAAATTCCATGGACAGAGGAGCCTGGTAGGTTACAATTCATGGAGTCACAAAGAGTCGGACACGACTGAGCGATTAACACTTTCAACACTTTCTCAAGTATTCTAGAGCTCCTGTACAAAATGCTAGTGATTGGGTCACTTAAACAACATTCGTTTATTGTCTCATACTTGTGGAGGCTCTAAGTCCAAATCAAGGTTTCATCTGCGTTGATCTTATGCAAGGTATGAAGCCTCTCCTTGGCTTGCAGATAACTGAAATCCCCCTATGCCTGTCCACGTTTTCTTCCCTATGTGTATGTGTCTATGTCTGATTTTCCCTTATTATATGGATATAACTCATTTAGATTAAGACCTACTCTAATGAACATATTTGAACTTGTTTACTTGGTAAATACTCATCTCCAAATATGATTACATAAGAATATGAGTGTTTATGGCAAAGGTACATTAATTTTAGAAGCACAAATTCAACCCACAGGAGATATATATTTTGAACTAAACTTGGGAATATTTCCTGCTTCTTCCATTTCATTAAGAGAACACTGGTGACTGCTTATGAGAAACAAGGTGGCCCCACCACAGTCATTTTCACAATTCTGTGAATGTTCAGTAATTTCATTTCAGTATTTCATTTCTTTTTCTCTCTGTGAGCGAGAAGACAGTGTGTCATTTCCATTGTTACAAAGTATTCTTTACACCTATAGTTGTAATTATTTCCTATTGTGTAGGATATAAGAACTTGTAAATACACCACTCTCAGCCAAACATTGAGATGAAATCTTGATAATCCAAGAAATAAAACTTTTCCTGAGCCTTTCAGGAAAAGGACAGGGCTCTATAGGACAGAAAAAACAAAAGACTTTCTTTAAGCTGGCAGAACCTCATGAGATAAAGAAGAGAGCCTCCCTGAGTAGTACAGGTATGAAGTGGACAGTGCCTTTTCAAGAATGGGAAATGAAGATGTGTATCTTTTGGTCCAATATAGAAGAATTCTGATGGGCTATTATACCTCCAGGGCTTTCTCTGGTCACTGTAGTAAATATTTAGGAAATTTGAGTCCAGTTATCAAGAATATTATTTAGCATTTTGTGGAAAATTAGAGAAACTTTATGACAGAACTTCTAAAAAATAATATGATCCCCAAGGAGACCAGGAAAATCTCCCACCAAAGCAATGGCAAGAAAATATCTCTAGGTGGGACCTTGAGATGATTGTAGACAACTTGAATATAATTTTGGAAATGAAAAGCTCATTTCAGAGCCATTGCATTTTTGAAAAGAGAACTGTGGACCCATAGGAATGAGACATTATTTCACAGAATAATTTCACTTCTATTGTGCTCATTGTTGCTGCTTTCAATATCCCAGTGTCCAATATCCCATCCCATATGACATGCAAATGTTTTTCCAGTCGATTCTTGTACATTGTTATTATGTGAGAATTCCTGTCAGCAAACCTAACCCACTAGCATGTTTTTATTGGGCTAGGTGTGTTTTACATTTAGTGAATCCAATAATCAAATACAGGGATTAGGAAACCAGTTTTACAACTGCATCATGTAGTCCATGAAGACAGAAGTGCATGGGTGAATGACACTTGACACCTAGGAAGGAGTGAGAGAAACGGGGTTCAATGCTGAAGACCAAGAGGGGAAATGAGCATATATAATTGCTCAATTCAGAGGGTGATTGAAGAAAACAGGCACCTAAAGAATAATCATGACCTAATGGTGTTGGCTACTGCAAGTACAAATTAGGACAAGGGTTTTACTGCTTAAATAACAAACTATAAGTTTCAACGCTAGGGAAATAGTTCAAATGCTTTTCAACATAATCTGTATGATAGAATTTATTGTAAAACATAAACGAGAGCTGAAACTTGTTCAGTTCAAACTATTGCAGAAATTACTGCAGTATTCCTCTATGCAGAGGCATTGTGAAATTCATCAATCTTTGAGAAGTGAAGATAAGCAGAAGTCATATAGCGTGGTAGGTCTGATGCTTGAGCAGGTATTTTGTCATGCACCTGAGGGAAATTTGTTTTAAGTAGGAGTAATATGCAAGTTTACTGTGCTTATTGAGGTAAATAGACTGGCTTATGTAATATATCTGTGTAATATAACTGTCTGAAAACTCGAGTCCTTTACCATATTCTGGTAGGTGAAGAGCATTACCCAGAGCCACATAGC